GAGTGAAAGGGGAAGGCGGCGTCCCGCTGTCCTCTTTACCTCCAAGAAATAGGATGGGTCATGCCCCTGAAGAGAGGACTCACCTCAGAGGGAGCCCCAAATGGAAAGCGCGGATCAGGAGGGGGTAGCGATCACTGAATAGAGACCTCTGTGATCCGAGGGACCCTAGAGGCAACAGCTCACCCTGGGAGAGTCAAGAGCCAGGCGCTGGTGGTCCACAGCCCAGCTGGGTCTTTTCATTCTTCCCGATTATTTGGCAAAGTGCCCTAGGAAGAGAAGGTGGGCCCACAGGAGGAAGAGGAGGATGGCCCCTCCAAGGGAGATGAAAAGTTAAGGTGGAAGTGGCCACATGGATTGGAGTTACCAGGGAAGCCCAGTAAGGGACTAGAGCAAGTCCCTGCTCCCCTCAAGTGACATGAGAGGCAGGGAGGGCCTGTTCTCCCGCAGGGAGGGGTGCCCCAGGTCATGAACCTGTGACCAGTAAGCCTTAGTGAGCTTGGCAGGGTTCCTGGCTTCCAGTTCCATGGGGAGAGGTAGAAAGAGGGAGTGAACAAGAAGGAGAGTGGAGAGTTAGGGACAGGGCAGGGTCCCCAGGCAGGATTGAACCCCGTTCAGGCCAACGCACCAGATGAAAGGTTCGGAGCAGTAAAGAAAAGGAGAGCCAGGCTAAATTTCTCAAAGGAAGGGAAAATTTATTGCGCCATGGGTGGACCTCAGGGACCCAAGGTGGGGAACGTGAAGCCGCACACATTGTCAGGGGGAAGCAGGCTTTTATATGTGAGGAGGTCAGATGGGGGACTGGGTTTGTAGGGCCAAAAAGATTTGTGGGGGGAGGGGGGAGTTTCTTTGTCTGAGAAAAGATTTGTAGGGCATGGGAGGTTCATTATCTGAATCCTCTAGGCAGGCTTCTGCATTCCTGTTTCCTGGTGGGTTTTTGCATCCAGGCCTCCTGCATGGACCTTTCAGTAGTGAAACAATAGGTAACTTCTTTTTAAAAAATCACAGAATTGTACGATTATCCTTACATTTACAGAAAGTTATTTTCTTAAAAATGCTTTATTAGCATACGTTGGTTATTAATATTCTAAAGTAAAGAAGTAGTAATGCTAGTGACCAGCCTCGGCAAACTGTCCTGTGAGGGGTTCCTGTGAGGATGAGAGGGCATGGACAAATCTGAGGGATTAGGGGGAGAGGGAGTGAGGAGATGCAAACACTTGATCAGGGTGCAGACATCATCCTGCTGAGGGTCTCAGCAGCCCTTTATTTATACCTTACAAGCAAACCCAGAGTACATAAGCATATGTATTAGAGCAGGAAGATAACAATCATCACATCTTCCTCTAGAACAGCCAGGGGTTTATTTGCCCTTCAGCAGACGTTGTAACATTCTTTATTTTGAAGAAGGCACAGTTGTTAAACAAAAGAGTTCTTAGAATAGTCATTTATCTTAAACAATCATTTTATTACTAGCAAAAACTTATGTGACTGAAACGAACATTTCTATGTTTACCATGGTCAAGGATTAACTAAGGGCAAGAAGTTACCTTGGGGAAGGGAAACAGAGGGATTTTTTCTAACTAACCTATAAAGTTTAGACTAACATATAACCATATTGTTACAGGGCAGGGAGAGGGGCAGCCCAGACCCCACAAACCTGCCTATTCTAAATGGGTTCTGCCATCCACCGCATCAACACAAAACATATGAGACTTTAATGGGAAGGAACTTTAATACAATTAGGAAACAACACAGAGAAGGCAAAGAATATAGTTTCTAAATCAAGCACCCAATGTTTCCCGTCCCCTCGTGGGTAAAAGTCCACCCAAGCAGGATTGGCCCAGAACAAGGCCCCAAAGCCTGCCACAAGTCTTAAGCATCTTCCAGTGGGGAGCCACAGAAAAGGATCAGAAATAACCAGACAAGTCTGGAGGGAAAAGAGCAAAATCAAAATCAACAAAATCAAAATCAACACAAAAACTGCCATTGTCACCTCCCCACGGGTCTCTCACCCACATCTGTGCCACCCAGTCCACGACCAAAAGGCAAACGCAGTTTCTTCACACATCTCTCGGCTCCATGTGCCCGCTTCAGGTCTCCTGGCTCCATCCTGCTTCCTTCCTTCTTCAGTCTCCTCTGCAGCTGCTTCTCTCTCTCCTCAGCTCCACCCTCCATTTGGGTGGGGCAGGGAACCTGGAACCTCCCCCTTTCTTGGGGACCACCCTGTTTCAATCCCCCTTTTAATTTTTATTCCACCATATCTATGGTGGCACAGATCTCAGGGTGTAGTGTTAGGAGACAGTCTTTTTTCAGGGTTACAATGTGTGTAAGAGAAGCAACAATTAGTCAGCAGCATTGTCCATGAATGTCCAGTATGACAGTTTTCCATTACTGGAAAATAGTCCATTAGCCAAGCCAAAAGAAAAAAAATCTGGAGCATTAGAAGTGCGCAGGTGAGGACCCACAGCTAGGCAACCCGTTTTATATCGGGGCTGCTCTGTAACTATATGATTAAAGCAAGAAACAGAAGGCTTTTATATGGGAATCATCATCTAATAGTATACTGTTTTTAATAAGGTATTGATTCAATATTAAGGAACCAAGGGCCTGGAGGGCGTCAATGCCAGGCAAACCGTACTAACTGTTACCTAGCCCCAAGCTCTCAATTAAGGGAGGAATTCTCCTAATCTAACAGAAGAGTTTTTCTACCTATTACTCCTATACTTATCTAGTCAGCCTAGTTTCCGTATCTAACTTTAAGATCAAGGGAAAATTCCTTTTTTTGTCCTGATTGTTGTTTTAAGGAACTGCAAATATTTCATCAGAGGCAGGGCCAGAGATGGTTCTCAAAATAGCTTTTGGTTCTCAAAATGGTTAACACGTGCCATATCAGTAGTGGTATTGTTAGGGGGAAATGATGTCCTAAGCTAATCCCATACAGGCTTTGTGGACTCCACCCCCACTCCAGACTAAAGCCATCAAGACATTGGGAAAGACAAATCCCGTCACCACCAAAGGGAGAGTGGCTGTGTTATAGGACAGGGAGAGGGGCAGCCCAAAACTCTGCAAACCTGCCTGTTCTAAATGGGTTCTGCCATCCGCTGCATCAACACAAAACATATGAGACTTTAATGGGAAGGAACTTTAATAAAATTAGGAAAAAATACAGGTAAGGCAAAAAATCTAGTTTCTAAATGAAGCACCCAAAGTTACCCGTCCCTCGTGGGTAAAACTCCATCCATATGGGATCGGCCCAGAACAAGGCCCCAAAGCCTGCCACAAGTCCAAAGCATCTTCCAGTGGGGACCCACAGAAAAGGGTCAGAAACAACCAGACAAGCCCGGAAGGAAAAGAGCAAAATCAACATTAAGATAAAAGCTGCCATTGTCACCTCCCCATAGGTCTCACCCACATCTGTGTCACCCAGTCCACGACCAAAAGACAAGCGCAGTTTCTTCACATGTCTCTAGGCTCCATGTGCCTCCTCCAGGTCTCCTGGCTCCATCCTGCTTCCTTCCTCAGTCTCTTCTGCAGCTTCTCCTCTCCCTGCTCAGCTCCACCCTCCCTTGGGAGGGGCAGGGAACCTCCCCCTTTCCTGGGGACCACCCTGTTACAGCTGGGACCTGAGGGTGGAGTTGGGCAGCCAGAATGGATATAAAAACGAAAAACACGTAGGCCTTGGGGGCTCGCTATCGCTCGCCTCCTGGCTTCATGGCTCCTGGCTTGCAGCCAGCTCTCAGAGCGCCATTTGGGATTCCTGATCTGCGGATCGGGTAGGACTCATTTAAAACTTTGTCTCCCACTTTTCTCCCTGAGCTGTACATTTCCTCATTTCCCCTTCCCTTGTAAATAAACCTTTTATTAACCTTTCGCGTGTGCCTGCAGTAGAGCATTGATAAGTCCTTTTAAGCGCGGGGGTGAGGACCCACAGTCAGGCACCCCGTTTTGTATTGGGGTTGCTCTACAACAGTAACATTGACTATTTCCAAGTGCATTATTTGTGCCTTCTAGGTTAGTAGCTTAACCAGTCACAAAATTGTTGTTGGCTTATTCATGAATGCATACTCCAACAGCTACCATACCCATTGTCACTGAAAGGGAACTGTAAGGAAAAGGGAATCTTTCCCTGTTAAAGAGGCATAGACATGGAAATAAATGTCAGTGAAAGACAAGCTTGCTTCCTTAGTAAGCATATCTAAACAAGGCCTGGCAGCCTGCTAGGCTGGTTGTTCTCCTGGGCCAGTCTCAAAGATCTGAGTCCTTCCCCTTTTCCTGTGTCAAGAATTTGTATGCTAACTAACCAATGTTATCAATGAATCACGCAGTGCCATGTGCTGTCAAATTGGTTATTCAGTAATTGATCAAACAGCATTTGCAGTTTTACTTTTAAATGCGTATTTTAACAATGGTAGAAACTAGCCATAAACAAATGAGGAGAATCTTGGAGTCAGCTAAAGAGATTCCTGACTTTTCAGGAATCTGCCCCATGCCTGGACCTTTGTCAGACGACAGGAGTAGCATGGCTCCCAGCATAACAACATCTTTTTGAAAGGTTTTATTCTAGTAAAGTAAATATTTAAAGCTATAACCCACATAAAAAAATTATGCATGGGATCCGTAATAATCTGAGAGACTGTAGAGACATCCTGAGAGAAAAATGTTTGAAAATCGCTGGCCCAGTTCCTGGGCCTGGCCTCGGGGAGAGGGTGTGACAAAGGTCTTGGTGCAGGAGAGGAGGGTCTCGGGGTGTGGGTCTCAAGGTCTCAGTCCCCAGAGCACTGTTCCGGACTGGAGGGTGACTGTCTGGGCTTCCTCACCTCCCCAGTTTCACTTCTCACAACCTGCGTCAGGTCCTCCCTCATGGATACTGGTGACTCACTCCAGGGCTCACTCTCCATTGCCTGGAGGTCTCCAGAGCAGCCAATCAGCAGCCCCGCGGCTCCCGTTCCAAAGCCCTCGCCCGCCCACCGGGACTCCGTCTCCCCAGCCCGGGTGGGGGCGCGTCCTGGGGGATGGGGGGCGCAGCCCTCCTGCTCCTGCTCGCGGTGGCCGCGGCCCCGAGGGAGACCCGGGTGGGTGAGTGCGGGTCGGGAGGGGACAGGGCGCTCCCAGAGGCGGGAGCGAGGGCGCGGGCGGGCGTGGGAAAGGCGCGACCTCGCCGCCGCCCTAGTTGTCCCCCCACCTCGGCCCGCCCCGTCCTGGCCCCTTTCCGTCCCCCCGAGACCCCAGACTCCTCTGGCCCCCGAGTCCGGCCATTTTCGTCCCGCAGCCGCTTTTCACTCTCACTCCTCTTTCACCCACTTTCTGTCTCTGGGCGCCCCCTGGGACTCGAGCCCCCGAAGGGGAGAAGAATAGCCCGGGTCTCCCCTCCCGCCCCCAGGCCCCCACTCCATGAGGATTTTCTACACCGCGATGTCCCGGCCCGGCCTCGGGGAGCCCCGCTTCATCTCGGTGGCCTACGTGGACGACATGCTGTTCAACCGCTTCGACAGCGACTCCCCTGGCCAGAGCTTGGAGCCGCGGGCGCCCTGGGCGGAGCAGGTGGAGCAGGAGGAGCAGGAGGAGTGGGACAGGAGGACGCGGAGCCTAAGGTACTACACACTGTGGTACCGCGCGCAGCTGGACGCCCTGCGCGGCCTCTACAACCAGAGCGAGACCGGTGAGCTGGCGCGGGGCCGGGCCGGGTCAGCACCCCCATCCCCACGGATGGGGTGGGGGGTCGCTCAGGGTCTCCCCCTCCAGGCTTCTCTGCAACCTGCCCAGGAACAGCCCGCAGAACTTTAACCTGGTTGCATTCTGGACAGACTCTCACACCCTCCAGAGGATGTCTGGCTGCGACCAGGGGCCCAACGGGCGCCTCCTCCGTGCATACAGTCAGTTCGCCTATGATGGCACGGATTACCTGGCCCTGAACGGGGACCTGCGCTCCTGGACCGCGGTGGACACGGTCGCTCACATCACCCGGCGCAAGTGGGAGGCCCAGGGTGAGGCAGAGAGATTCAGGAACTTTGTGGAGGGCAGGTGCTTGAGGTGGCTGCGCAGATTCCTGGAGTACGGGAAGGAGACTCTGCAGCGCACGGGTAAGAGGGGCCTGGAGGCCTCCAGGTCCCCCCCTGCCTGGAGTCACTGCGGGAAATGAGTCCTCTCTCTAGTCCCGAGAGGGGGGCTCCCCTGGGTTTCATGTTCTGCACGAGAGAGACTCCCAGAGACTCCGGCTTCTCCTGAAGGACAGTGAAGGGATCCCGTCTCTCCTGAGAAAGACAGACAGTCCCTGACATCACACGTCACCGGGTCCTTTTGACCAGGGGCCTGTTTGAGAACCACGAGTTTCTCTCTCAGTCTTGTTTCTGGTCTGAGAACATTTTCAGTTATGTGATTCCTGCTTTTCTGTGTCATTCACCTTCCACCCAGGTCAGGAATAAAAAGTCTGTGTTCCACTCCCTCTGCTTCATCCTACCCTGGGTTTTCATCCTCATTCTAGAACATTCTAAGGAATAGGGGATTCTCACAGATTCCCCAGATTAGCTTGCTTTTTACATTTTATGCTTCTAACTGTTACAGGACAAACCCCGATATAAAATGGGGTTTCCTGACTGTGGGTCCTCACCTGCGGGCTTAAAGGGGACTTAGGAATGCTAAACTGCAGACACACACAAAAGGTTGATGAAAGGTTTATTTACACAGGAAGGAGAAATGGGAAATGAATAACTCAGGGAGAAAAAAAGAGAAATATGTTCGTAATGCGTCCTACCGGTTCCGCTGACCTGGAATTCCAGTGACCCACAGAGGTGGCAAAAACCTAGCACGCCTCGTGGCCAACCCAGCAACTCCAGGCCACATGGCCAGTTAAATACCCAAACGGAGAGCCTAGTTGCTTAACTCCACCCTCAGGTCCTCTCAACCTGCCCTTTGGTGATCGTGGGATTTGTAGTTCCCAGTGTCGTGGGGATGGAGTCCACAAAGCCTGTATGGAGTTTGCTCAGGGCATCCTTCACCCCTGTCATTCCTGCCACACCAGTTGTCTTGTCCATTGTGAGGATGGTCTCATGAGGATTCCTCAGTGTCCATGGAGGAAACACAAAGTGAGTTTTCTGATTTACCACCTCAGATCCCCCAAAGACACGCATGACCCGCCACCCCACTTCTGAGTATGAGGTCACCCTGAGGTGCTGGGCCCTGGACTTCTACCCTGCGGACATCACCCTGACCTGGCAGCGAGATGGGGAGGACCTGACCCAGGAGATGGAGCTGGTGGAGACCAGGCCTGGGGGAGATGGAACCTTCCAGAAGTGGGTGGCTGTGGTGGTGCCTTCTGGAGAGGAGCAGAGATACACGTGCCACGTGCAGCATGAAAGTCTGCTGGAGCCCCAAGTCCTGAGATGGGGTAAGGAGGAGGATGTGGGCACAGAGGCTATTCTCAGGGCCATCAGGAGCCCTTCTGGAGCCCTTCAGAGGGTCAGGATAAGGTCTGGGGCTCAGGTTATGATCTTCCCTTCCCTTCCAGTGCCCCTTCCTCAGTCCTCTAGCCCCACTGGGGGCATCATTGCTGGCCTGGTTCTCCTTGGAGCTGTGCTCACTGGAGCTGCGGTGGCTGCAGCTGTGATGTGGAGGAAGAAGCACTCAGGTAGGGAAGGGAGTGGGGGATCTTGTCCACCGAGGGCTTTTATGTCCCAGGGAGAACTTGCCCTGCCTGGTTAATGGGAAGTGCCATCCACACACACGTTGCCCAGAGGGCATTTGGTCCAGTCCCCCCTCACCTTTCTTCATTTTTCCCAGTCCTGACGTGGGTCTTTAGTCACAGTTCTGGAAACTTCCCTGTTGTGCAGGATTAAAAGATTCCTTTAGGTCTTCTGACCTGACTGTTCCCTGGTCTCACATGATGTTTCTTCCCACAGGAGGACAAGGAGGAAGCTACACTCAGGCCGCAGGTAAGTGTGGATCAGGGGTTTGATCCCTGAGCCCCTGGGGACAGTGTAAATGGACTCCATGGGGGAGCCACCCTCATCAGTCCCTCCTGTGGTCTCGTCTCTGACCAGGTTCTGTTTTGTTCTCAGAAAGGCAGCGACAGTGCCTAGGGCTCTGATGTGTCTCTCAGCCCCTAAGGATCTTTTACAACAAACCTGATGAGGCTCCTGTTGTGCACACCCTGGATGGCAGTGTGATGGTGTCACTGTTGTTTTTACCTGTGATATTGAGCATTTGTTCATATTTTTATTTTTCTATGTCTACATAAGTTGCTATGTCTACAAATAATAATAAATAAAATATAATAAATAAAAAGATTTATTCATGCATACAAGAACTGGGGTAAAGGTCACATGCACAGGAGGTGATAAGATTCACCAGAGACAAAGTGGGGAACAGAACAGGCAGGCTGATGAAATACACTGCTGAGGGGAGCAGCGGGTGAGACAGGAGAGGTCTGCCGCACCATGTGGGATTCTCGCCCCCCGGCCGGGATCGAACCTGCACTGCAGAGGCTGCGGACAGCTTAACAGTGCTGCGCTCAACCACCAGCACCACCAGGGGAGGCCCAGAAGTAAATTTTTTCTTTTTTTGTTATATTTGTAACACTGTTTTTTGTCCTTATTAAAATTGGGTTATTTCTTGCTGATCGTTGAGTTTTAAGCAGTATTTGTAAATTCTTGATACAGTCCTTTATCAGTTTGTGATATGCAAATGTTTCCCCCCACTCTGTGACCTGAACTCCTTTACTGACGGGAAAACAAGCATTATTGTCCAGACAGTAGCATGGATATATTTTTTTAGAAAAGAAAAGATAAATTACTAATTGGTTTTGAGCAGATACTGGCTGACTGGGATGTTGGGGGATGGAAGGGAATGGCTTACTTATGCATATCCTTGAGTGTTATTTAAATGTCCTTTCAGCATGAAATATGCTTTCAAAAATAAATTACACTTCATTCCTCAATTTATAAAACTTCACCCATCATGTCCAAATCACGTGTTAAGATCAGACTGGCACGTGGGTTACAAGTGATGGACCCGCATATCTTAGTCCCAGAGTCATGGTTTCTCTCAGGGGTCACTCTGGTTTTGTCCATTCTGTGGGTGTTGGACAAATGTATAATGACCTGTGTCCATTATGAGAATATCATGCAGAGTATTTTCATTGCCCTTAATGTCTTCTGTGCTCCAAGGAAGCAAAAGCAAAAAGAAACCAATGGAATCACATGAGACTAAAAAGCTTCTTTATAGTGAGGGAAACTCATTAAAATGAAAATGTTGTAGAGCAACCCTGATACAAAACGGGGTGCCTGACTGTGGGTCCTCACCCGCGCGCTTAAAAGAACTTATCAATGCTCTACTGCAGGCACACGTGAAAGGTTAATAAAAGGTTTATTTACAAGGGAAAGGGAAATGAGGAAATGTACAGCTCTGGGAGAAAAGTGGGAGACAAAGTTTTAAATGAGTCCTACCCGATCCGCCGATCAGGAATCCCAAAATGGCGCTCTGAGAGCTGGCCGCCAGCCAGGAGCGGTGAAGCCAGGAGGCGAGCGATCGCGAGCCAGAGAGCGAGCAAGGCCCACGTGTTTGTTTTTTATATCCAACCTGGCTGCCCAACTCCACCCTCAGGTCCCAGCCACCCTCCCCTTGGTGGTGATGGGATTTGTCTTTCCCAATGTCCTGATGGCTTTAGTCTGGAGTGGGGGTGGAGTCCACAAAGCCTGTATGAGATTATCTCAGGACATCCTTTCCCCCTAACAATTCCCCCCTTTCACTTTTTGCCACCATTTCCATGGTGATGAAGATCAAACATATGGATGCTGGGATACAGTCTCAGATGAAAATTTTTCAGGGTTCCAGTCTGAAAGAAAACGAATCCCTCCAGGTAGTGTCCATTGTAGAAAGCAAAAGTCCTCCCTTCCTGGGAAAACAGTTCATCAGTCCCAGCCGAAAGAAAACATCTGGAGGCATTAGCCAGAACAAGACAGCAGATATGTCAAAAATCACAGGAAAAAAAATCTTAAAATGGTTCAACTTATGTAAAGACAAATTCTCTCAACCTTGATCCCAAATTTTTTAAACAGCATAGCAAAAGTTTGCAAACCAAATCTACTTTTAAACCATATTGCCTATTTTTGCATAAAATCACAGGGCAGAAATAACTAAGCAGCAATTTTTAGCTGGCTCCGTTGGAATACTCCATATAGGATTCAGAGCGAACTGTTGACATCCGGTCCGTGTAGGCTTCTGGAAGAAGTTGGTCTCATCAGACTCCACCTGGGCTTTCCTCTTCTCGAGGGTACCAGGGACTTTTCGTTGGCCGGGTTGTCCAGTCCTGCCAATGGAGGCAAGCTTCCTCACCTTCTTTGGAGGTCTCTGGAACCCTACAAACAAGGCAAACAGGTTCTCCTCTTCTTGGTTCAGCTCTGTTTCAACTTTCTGGAAGAGCTCCACACAAAGCCACACAATGAAACTTATGTCCAATTTTTTCAGTTTAAACAAAATCCCTATGGAAGTTATGCAAAAACAGACTCTGAGATAAGTAGTAAAAGATTACTACCACTATTTTTATGCCGTGTTGGTATCAAGGGGAGAGAAAATGCAAACACAAGTTAGCTTTGTTGGAAAAAAAATTACAACCTTGCTGCAGATCCTGGTCACCAAAACAAGAAAACTTTGTGGATTTAGAGCAAAATGCAAAAAAATCATCAGTATTATTATGTCAAGGAAAACTTAGTAAATATGAGGTGTATTTCCAAGTCTATTCAGTCCTTAGTAGAAAAGTTTTACTCTCAACAGTTCCATCAATAGGAATCTGTTGAGACCTTTTCTCCCTATATTTTCAGAAACAATTTCTGTAGATGTGAAACAATTGAATTACATAATATTACAAGGTAACAATCACCATTGACAATTTACATACATACCAGATACTACTGTTAACATTTTGTACATACCAAAGTTTTACCATTTTCCCAAGTGACAATGCTTCCCTTCCAGTTTTACTTCATTAGGTAAAATCCAAATAGAACAAATTCATCTAATGCCTTTCCCAGGAGGAAAGGGAGAAACTTTGTGGAGTGTCTCAGGAGCTCTACTGAGGTTCCACAAAATTTCCTTGCATCAGCCAAATGACAGGCTACCAAATTTATACTTGAATTTAGATTTCTGGGAAGCTTTGCCATAAATATCAGAAGAATAACAGAAACAACAATGTTCAATCTCTGTGAAGGCACCGGCTTAGTTCAGGAGCACAATGTTGACAATCAAACCATAACCTTTAGTTTTTCTCATAACTGGAGACTCTTTTTTTTTTTTTTTCAACGTCTATGGGCACCATGTATACCAATTTGTCAATCACTTGAGGTCAAGACAAGGACACAAGGAAAGGACATACAGACATACAACATATAGACACAAAGAGCTCATTAGTTACCATTTATCACGCGTGGGATATCTCATGCAACTGCAGTTTCACTCATTGGCCAAAGTAACAAAAAGAAAGCACAGAAAAAAATCTCAAAGGTAAAAAAAAAGCAGAAAGTTAAAAAAAAATAACAAAATCAAAATCAAGATTGAAAACCTTTCTGTGTAAAAAAAAAATAGTGGCACCATATGCATGATCCTAGATGTTATTTCACGTCTCCTAAACTTTGATACTACTCTTGATCTTAGCCAAAAGGCCGAGAAGCGATACGTCTCCTAAACTTTGAAAAGAAGAAGATTGGTTAGAGCATGTTAGTTTTCTCAGGGTTTCTTCAGGAAAAAAAAATGAGTCCTTGGGTATCCTGCAACAATAACTGGAAAAGAAGTCAGTAACATTCAAGTTTTTGTCTGTTTCTTAAACAAATATCTCAAGTCCTCAATGGGTTCACAAGACCAATGGGACTTCGTCTCTGGGTCAGTTCCTCCTGGGGCTTTCTTAACTCTGGAATGATGTACCCAGGGTTTTATGCCTGCAAGTTTCAGAGAAGTATGTGTGCTCAACAAGACATCATAGGGACCAGTCCATTTTTCTGACAGCTGGTTTTGAGCATCCCCGCTCTGCCAAGTCTTCAGTAAGACCTGATCTCCAGGTTTGAAGGGATGCAATGGTTGATCAGGAGGCATAGAGATCCTTGAGGTTGCAAAGTTATGAATCACTGCCAGAACCTCCTGGATGTGTTTCACATATTGCGTGATCCGGCAATCTTGTGTTATTTCCGGACTGGCTTTCAGAACTGAGGCCTGAAAAGGTCTTCCAAACACAATCTCAAAGGGGCTTAATTGTAGCCCACTTCTAGGTGCCACTCTTATGCGGAGGAGGGCAAGGGATAGTACCTGGTCCCAACGAAGTTGTGTTTCTTGGCACAGTTTTGCCAAGGTTTTCTTCAAGGTGTGGTTCATCTTTTCTGTTTGCCCGGAAGACTGCGGTCTCCATGCAGCATGCAATTTCCAGTTTATCTGTAACGCACTGCTCACTGCATGGGTGACGTCAGAGACAAATGCCGGCCCATTATCACTCTGGATAGAGTCCGGCAACCCAAAGCGAGGGATTATCTCTTTCAGTAGCTGTTTGGCAACCTCAGAAGCTTTTTCCGTCTTTGTGGGAAATGCTTCCACCCATCCCGAAAACGTGTCGACAAAAACCAAGAGATATTTGAAATTGCCTATTGTTCTAGGCATTTGTGTGAAGTCCACCTGCCAGTCCTCAAAAGGACACTTGCCCCGATATTGAACCCCAATGGCTTTAGGGTGGGAGTCAGTCTTGGGGTTATTCCTGGCACATAATTCACAACCTCTGGTGATCCGTTGTGCTATTTTGTGTAAATACGGGCCCTTCAAATATGGGCGCACTGTTTCTAATAAGGCATCTCTCCCATAGTGAGATCCTTCGTGAAGATGTTTTAGCACCGGATATACCAGGACCTCCGGGAGGAGGATCATCCCATGAGAGTTTACTCTCCAAGTAGAGCTGGGATCAAACTCAGTAAATCCCCATGCACGAGCTCTCTCCTCATCCCGCTCGGTGTATTCAGGAGCATACTGAGTCAGGTCCACAAGAGGGATGAGTGCTCCCTGGAGGGCAGAATGGGCAGAACGGGCAGCGACCTTAGCCACCCGATCGGCTGCCCTGTTGCCCTTTGCCATGTCAGACCCACCCTTTTGGTGGCCAGGACAATGCATCACGGCAACAGCTGATGGTAAAGCTACTGCCTTTAACAGGGCCAGGATTTCTAATGGATGTTTGACGTCCTTGTTACTGGCAGTAAGAAGTCCCCGCTCCTTCCAAATGGCCCCATGCATGTGGAGAATCATAAAAGAGTACTTGGAGTCGGTAAATATATTGACTCTTTTACCTTTCGAGAGTTCCAATGCACGGGTCAGGGCTATTAATTCAGCTTTTTGCGCTGATGTACCTGCCGGAAGAGCCTTGGCCTCCACGGTGTTCTGGAGCGTCACCACTGCATATCCAGCACATCGACGGCCTTGGTCCATGAAGCTGCTGCCATCTGT